CTTCGCCCCCTGCGTGGGGCCGAGCTCGGGGGACGAGCTCATCAGCCCGGAGCTGCCCGCGTAGTTCTCGCCCCAGCTGTACTGGTCGGGGTCTGGGAAGGAGGAACGGTGTTACCAGGGCCCAGCGGCTGAGAGGCTCGAACCTCAGACACCACCACCCAGGGAAGGGGGCGCCAGGGAAGGAGGCGCCAGGGAGCCACACCTGGACCCCAGTCCCTTTGTTTTTACTTATTTATTTAATCCTCACCCGAGGGCGTGTTTTCATTGATTTTAGAGAGAAACGAAGGGGAGAGACAAACGTCGCTGTTGCGAGAAGCATCAATCGTTGCCTCCCGCACGCGCCATGCCCGGGACCAAACCCGAAACCTAGGCACGGGCCTGCTGGGAGGGAACCTGCAGCCCTGGGTGTGCGGGATGCGGTCCCGCCTGCCGAGCCACCGGCCCGGGCCCTTCTGGTTTCCTCAGAAAGGACAGAGGACGGCCCTGGGCCGACAGCGAGGCGGGAGGAGGGGGCGCCGGCCTCGAGCCCCGTGTCCCTCACTGGAACCCTGACTGTCACACGCAGGCCCACTGTCGCTTTCCACCCCCTCAGGGCAGTCACAGCCAAGGGCTAGCCGGGCCCCACCCGGCGCAGATGGGACGAGGGAGGGCCACCTGGTACCACGCAGGCCCCGTCGCGCACCTGCGCCCACGACCCCCTGGCACGGGCACCCCACTCACTGTCCTGCTCGGCTCCTTTGAGAAACGCCCCGATGGCGCCCAGGTAGCCTTCGTGCCTCAGGAACAGCGCCTGGACTTCCCCCTGCAATGCAGACCCCCTGAGGCGCCTCGCCGGACGCGGCTCATCCACCCCTTCCCCCCCCGACAGGCCCAGCGGCTGACGGGCTCACAGGGGGAGACGGTCCCTGGAACGCGTGCCATAGTCACATGCCCAGCTCAGACTCTGCAGGTGCCCAGGCTCAGGACCCGGGTGTCACCGAGGGAAGCGGCGGGAGGCCAGGCGGGTGGGCACGGGCGGCTCATTGTGAAGGCCCTGAGGGTGTGCACTGGGGGCGGGGGAGCGCCAGGGGGCCGCTACCTTGGAGAAGAAGCTGATGCTGTAGGTGATGGTGCGCATGGTGACAGGGTGGCCTCGGATGAAGAAGCCGCCGAAGTACACGCGGTCCAGGCCGTGCAGCCTGGCGTAGAGGCAGGCGAGCTGCCCGATGTCGTTGCTGATCATGTGCAGCAGGCTCTTGGCCATGTCCTCCGGGGAGAACTCTGGGGCGGGATGGTCGGTGGTGGCCGACTTCCCAAAGCTGCTGGCGATGAGGTTGCCGCTGAGCCCCAGCGTCTGGTGGGCGCCGCCATAGATGTCCTGCACCAGCATGTCCACGTTGGCGTGCTGCCCCCTGGAGGCCAAATGCAGCAGCTCATCGAACTTCTGCAAGGACCGAGCAGAGGGGAGCAGTGAGCTGTGGGAGAGGGGAGGATCCCTGGGGCCCCCGAAGCCAAGCCCATGGAGCGAGGGAGACAGGTAGGCCCCAGGGACCCGCAGCTGAGCTGTGTGCTGGCCGAGGGGATGCACGCCCTTCAGGGACCAGGACAGTCGGGGCGAGGCCGAGGAAGGAGCCCCGTTTGTAACCGCCCCGCCGAGCCCAGCCTCTGTCCTGCAGGAGCCAGCCCCGCCCTGAGGAGGGGAAGCCCGCAGCCCCGGTCTGGGCCCCAGTACCTGTGTCTTGGTGAGCAGGGCCCCGAGCCCCCAGAAGGTGCCGCCTCCAATGGAGCTGCCGCCGATCCACTCGAACCTGTCCTCCGTCTTTTGAGGGGGGCAGGTGCTAGCGAGCGGGCCCAGCCACCCAGCAGGTCCCGGGGACGCGGCGGCCAAGGTGCCCCCAGAAACGGGGGCCCAGTTCTTGACGGCCGTGTCTGGGAGGGCTCAAGGGCACCGATGCTGGAAGCGTTCTGCACAGGGCTTGTGCCCGTAACCGCAAGGCCCCGGCCCAAGTCACTCGCCTGTCTGTGTCCCCTGCCCTGGCTCAGACACCCGGCGGGTGCAGGACAAACCCGTGCTGCGCCGCCGCAGCCACGGAGCCCAGCTCACCTTCACTATGGAGACGCCAGAACCGATGTTGACCAGGAGATACGGGAAAATGTGGGGGTGGTTTGTCTGAAATCGGAACTCGGGGTCGGCGTCTTTCTGATACACGAAGGCCTCCTGGGGGATGTTCTTCAGCACGAAGTTGCACCCCTTTATCAAGCACGTCATCACGTCCTCCTTGGCCACCCTGCGAGGGAAGGTGGCCCTGAGCAACCAGGCCACAGGGACCCACAGCCGCACCCTGTCTCCTGGACACGCTCCTGCTGCCGAGCGCAGCTCCTCACCCCAAAGACACAGGGGTCCTCGACAGAGCAGCCCGGACGGTTAGCGGCCCTCGGTCCTGACCGCATGCAGGCGGCTGGCCCCTGAGCCCTGAGTGCGCCTGAAACCCCGCCCCCACCAGTGGCTCCGCCTCCACCTTGCTCCCAGGGGGCTGCAGCCTCGGAAGCCTCTGCCCAGCAGGACAGGCCGTGTCCTGCACCCTCTGTCCCCCTGGGGTTCGGCCACCGCAATCCTCTGCAGCCTGGCCCAGAGCCCTGCCCCAGGCCCCCCTCCTGCTCCCACAACCCGGGGCGGGTGCAGGAGCGGCTACGTCAGCTACCGCCACTTCAGAGCCCCACCCCGAGAACAGAGGCGCCCACCCCACGCCCCGGGGCCTGCGGTCCCCTTACCGCAGCCCCAGCTTCTGCTCGATGAGGTCCTTGAACTTGTAGGCCCCGCCCCCGGTCGCGTGGATGACCTTGGTCTCCGTGTTGACCAGGTGGTCGCGGACGAAGTCCAGGCAGGCCTCGATATAGCTGTTCTCGAACTTGACGAAGTGCAGCCGGGCTGTCACCTCCTCCTGGACAGAGATCTCGTAGGGCGACTCGCAGTCCTGCTCCGCGTCCTGGGGCAGAGAGGGGGTCTGTGTGCGCCGGGAGGGGAAGACCCCGAGACGAGGCCACCAAGCGCCCACCCGGCAGCGCCAACCGTTTCCGTCATCCCAGAAACGGCAGAACTCTGGCTGCCAACCTCAGGCAGGAGCAGCTGCGTGGAGAGGAGGCGGGCAGGGGCACCGGACCAGAAAGCCCCTGGGAGCCTCCGGAGCCCAGTTGACCTGGGGGAGCCGCATGGGAACAGCAGCCAGGAGGCCAGCGGGTGCCAGGCCCCGCCACA